AGCAAACCATCTACTCACAGTCATTGCTCACCGGCCATTAGGCCAGTGACCCATTAGATTTGGAAATCCCATTGGTTGAGAAATGTTCAGATGACATATGTTTGATTGTGTGATCACATTGGTTTCCAACGATAAAGTTATCAAGTTGTATAAACACAACCCATTCTGTTGTGATCACCGAAGCGACATGTCCCTGCTCTTATACTTGGCACTGTGTTGTCAGATTTCCGGGGGTTGTTTTTTTTTTTTACAGAATTTCAACGCCCAGAGCCCGTTTTGCATGGGCATACCAGGCATCATGCAGGCCTACCAGCAGTGCATCAGGACAGTGCAGCTCTACGGACCCACCAACTTTGCCCCAATCATCAGCCACGTGGCCAAGTGAGTGTGAGGCCATGTCCGAGTGGATGGCTGTGGATACAAGCTGTTGGCACCCATAGGCATACATGTTAATTCTAGCCACAGCCATAACATTAAGAGACAGCCGCACCCATACAACTTCCTCAAATCAGCACAGAATAAGTCGGTCTTCCAGTACTCGGCTTAGTATCCATCTCAGGCTTTGTCTTTGAAACTGATTCCAAATGTTGGCTTGCAGTGTTCATATTAGATAGAAATGCTTCAATTTGATGTTCTGATCGTACCATGTGACTTATTATGGAGCTGATGACAACGTCAAAGTCAAGAGGTGAACAATCAGGTGTAGCCTGAGATGGAGACAAAGCTGAGTGTCAGGAAAACCACCCACCGTCAAATTCATACCAAAACAATTGTGCAAATGCATGTACATGTAGCTGTGCCAATCGCACCAAAATAATGGAACTCCTGAAGTATTTGTCTGAAGTTTTTCTCTTTTGGGGGGAAGTCTCTTTTTTGGACATTTGGATTTTGCGGCAACATAGTTTCCTTGTGGGTTTTTGACCGTTTAGGGATTTTCTCTGCAAATCATAGGACCTGGATTCTATTTCTGGTGAAGAGCGAGTGATCATTGATTAACAAATTCATCAGTGGCTGTCTTTCAATTACTGGATAACAAAAACAAGAAATTTAGAATTAATTAACAAAGCAAAAAGAAACAAAACTGCAAGCATGTTGAGTGCTTCTAGCACCTGTAACATGTATTGGAGGCTAAAGATGACATCACTGTTGTGTTCATTAATATGGAAATTGTGTTAGTTGGCTTACTGGTAATTTTTTTCTGACCACACAGGTTTGCGCAGGCCTACATGGACGGCTCTAACTACTTCATCCTGCTTATGATCACTGATGGAGTCATCTCCGACATGGAGATGACCAAGGAGGCCATCATACGGGTAAGCATAAGCAAGGCCAACCCATTTACTGCTAAAGTGGAAATTATTGCTTAGCAAGGATGGGTCCTTGAGAACCAGTTTGAAAGAGAGCAGATCACTTATTTAAGCGCAACCCAACGAAATGGGTCACAAGTCACCCAGAGCAAGGCCTGGAAAGGAATCTTGCACCATGTCGCTGAATGGGAACTGCCAACATTTTTCACCACCAATACATTGTCCCTTTTTGCCAGGATGCTGAAAAGGATGGTCATGAAATCAAAGAACTGGGTTTGCTCCCCCATATTTAAACTAATACAGAATTACCCAAAAATATGGCCTTCAGGCTCAATTTGTGGAATCCGATCGCCTATCGTTATGGTTGCTGACCATTGATCTCTGGATTCTGGATAAGCTTACAGAGGGTTGGGAGTGAAGTCGCTGTGCTCCATGTTTCCACTTCACAGTCAACTTGCAAAGATTTTTTTGAGTGATGGGAGTGGCTCCTTCCACACATTCCATTGGAGAGATGGGGAACCAGCATATACGCAGAGCTTCAATCTACTGTACATGCACAGCCATGAAATGAGCGACAAGCTAACCAGATTGGTTACATGTAGACTGTTTCTAAAGTACCCGGCTGCTACTTGCGATTACACACAACTCAGTGGGAAGCAACTGCAGCCACAACCATAATCTCTCATGATCATGATAGATATCCAGCCTCATCAGCCACACACTGGAATGTTTCACAAATGCGTAAAAAATTCTCCCAGCAATCAGTTTTAGCTCAGAAATAAGGCAAGCTACCACCTCAGGCAGTCCAGCAACCAAGCTGTGAGTCCAGCAACCGAGCTGTGAGTCCAGCAACCGAGCTGTGAGTCCAGCAACCGAGCTGTGAGTCCAGCAACCGAGCTGTTTTGCAATACTTCCAGTTGAGAAATACCCTGGTTGAGATACAGTGCACATTATATATTTCCTGCCCACAGGCCAGTTTCCTCCCAATGTCAATCATTATCATCGGGGTGGGGCCAGCGGAATTTGATGGTGAGTCCAATTTTGGTTTGATTTCAGTGCAGAAACAGCTCCCCATACATGTAGAAAATTTAGTGGCTTTCTGGAATCACATGTAGGAATAACAAACTAAGATTGGCTTTTCACTAGAAGGCAGTTGGAAAGCGGTTAGATGTTCATTCTTTTGTTGAGGTAAGCCTGGGGGCCAAGTTGAGCCTGTGAGTGTGTTTTTATACAAAAATACAGACGAGGCTCGGAAATGGTATAATTCTACAGTGAACTTGTCCCATGCATGGTATTATTTTCAATCAGACATACTAATTTTTAAAAAGACAAGATACCCACAACCATTGTCCTTTATAAACTTGGACTTGGCAAATACCCACCCTTGGAGGTCACTTGTTTGAGATTTGAGCAACATTTCTTACCCATTTTGTTGCTTGTGTTGAAACTCCAAGGCGACATTGTGGAGTGAAATTTGCAATATTACCAGACCGTTGTCAACGGCAGCTGTAGGGCTCCACACGCATGGTTCAGTGGACAAGTCCGAACCTCTGTGTGTAACACAGACTCAATGAGAATCACTCAAGCTAAGGGATGATGAGTACAGGCGTCCTGCAGTTCTGCATGCGCGACTTGCCAGAATGTGTTACGACACTGGAATCATTTTTTTGTTAAGTGTCGTTTGGCGCAAAGTGGTTAACGATTTTCTATTATCCACTGAATTTCTAGCTCCTGGCCGAGCAATGTGTTTTTTCCCGGTTGTACCTGTGTTTGACTGGTGGACCGTTCACTTCCTACCGCATTTGTGTTGAATAATCTAATGCGGAAATGATGCTAACAAGGAACGTTGTGTTTGGACATTTCTTATTCCATTTGTAGCCATGGAGGAGCTGGATGCCGACAAGCAGGCCCTGTCTTACAGAGGTAGAGTGGCAGAGAGGGACATAGTGCAGGTACCTATGCATCTACTTGGCCTTATAACACCTCACCCACTGATTCTCTAAACTATCTTGATTGGTCGAGAGCTAATCTCATGGTATTCACTATTTTTGTCGTCTCGCTGTGTGTGGCCAAAGGAACAATACCCATAGCAACCAAAGTACTATACCTGTAGCAACCGAAGTACTTTACCCATAGCAACCAAAGTTCTGTACCCATAGCAACCAAAGTACTATACCCGTTGCAACCAAAGTAATATACCTATAGTAACCAAAGTACTATACCTGTAGCAACCGAAGTACTTTACCCATAGCAACCAAAGTACTGTACCCATAGCAACCAAAGTACTATACCTGTTGCAACCAAAGTAATATACCTATAGCAACCAAAGTACTATACCCGTAGCAACCAAAGTACTATACCTATAGCAACCAAAGTACTATACCCATAGCAACCAAAGTACTGTACCCATAGCAACCAAAGTACTATACCTGTTGCAACCAAAGTAATATACCTATAGCAACCAAAGTACTATACCTGTAGCAACCAAAGTACTTTACCCATAGCAACCAAAGTACTATACCTGTTGCAACCAAAGTAATATACCTATAGCAACCAAAGTACTATACCCGTAGCAACCAAAATACTATACCTATAGCAACCAAAGTACTATACCTACAGCAACCAAATTGTTGTACCGAAAGCAACCCTTAAACTGCATGACCACCAGCATTGTTCGCAAATGCATACTGGTGTGTGCACTGCACGCTTTCCAATTCAAAGTGTTGGTCCTACAAAGCATGGGTTCGAGCATTTCGGAGAAGTAGTTATGAAAAGTGTCTACATTTTGTGGAGGAAAGCAGAGGTAATTGAATCTTGTGAAAGATGCAATTCCGTGAATGACAAGTTGTAACCTAGGCTGTGTTGGAATTGGGCATTTTGTATGGCTACGACTTTGATCTTTGTCATTGAGGATTTCACTGTCGTCAGCTGTAGCCATAAAGACAACAATCCACATCATTCTTCAAGTCTGGTTCCGATGATGGCATGGACCCATGGTTACCTACTCATTTCTCATGAGCTTTCCCCCTCTTTCCGTCTTCCAGTTTGTTCCGTTCCGTGAATACATCGGAGGGGTCGGCAGCGGCAACCAGCATCTCAGCCAGGCCCGACTGGCCAAAGACGTCTTGGCAGAGGTGCCGGACCAGATCGTCGCCTACATGAAGAAGCGTGGGATCCAGCCCAGCGCCATGCCCGCCAGCCACACGCCGCTGTCCCCGCCCCCGACACAGTGATACAGCAATCAAGACCAGCATGCTCATGATCATTGGCACTCCGAGTCTCACACCGAATTTGTACTTGTTTTAAATATCTTTATGAAAACCCTAACTCCTGTGTTGCTTGTAACCTTTTTGTATCAGCCCAAAACTTTGTGCTGCAAACCATTGGAACAATTTCGCTCCAACAAGGTCCAGGTATAGTTGAGTACATGTTACACAACCCGGATTGCGTATAGGCAAGGATCCATCAAGAGTCTAGGGCTGTGAGGTTCGAATAATTCAGTATTTCAATATTCGACCTTCCATTCAATCGAATATTCTGTTACACCAGATTTCTACGCATGTAGAATTTAGGATGGAAACTTGATGATGACATCAGGGAAAATGACAACATTGCTTCTGGAAGGAAAAATTGTAAATATGAAAATAAATATAAACAGTCAAACAGTAAACATTCAAGTGAATTTTAGACACAAAAAGTGTTTAGATTAAAGACATAAAAGGCTTGTTATGAAGACAGAATTCATTGTCATGGTTTTAAGTTGTCAGTGTAAATGTTAGAACTGTAAAAATTGGGCTGATTGGTAAGTAGGAGCCGCGGTAATTGTCGGCCTTATTATTTGACATGATCAGCTGATGCCTTGAAAGTTTTCACAACACCTTTGAAAGAAGATTTTAGAGCAAAGTTTTGTTACCGGATTAAAAACTGCCTTCTGATTTTTATTTCAGTGCGTCTTGCCTCGGAATTCAATCTCAAAACTAACTATTTGAACATTTTGTGTCAGATCATTGGCCAAATTTGGCACAGCCCTAGGAGAGTTCTTTGTAAGCAGGTGTGAAGGACTTGGGGTGGTTGGTTAGGGACAAAGTCAATGTCCCTTGACATTCTGCAGTTGCCACACTTTGGCCGCCTGCATGCCTTCAGCAAAGTTTCTGATGACAAGATTTTGTGACAGAAAGGTTGGCGTTCATCTCCAACTACATGAACCGCAAATGCTGAAACTGTTTCTTTTTTCACAAACAGAATTCAGGATTTGAATGTCAGAATTACCGAGTCACTGGAGGTAGATGAAACATTGCTCACAGGGACACATAAATGAAGAAAACTGGTCATTTTGCTGAAGTGTCAGTGCTGAAGTTTTACATTTCAACATGCGTGAGAAATGACGAAATCTACGATTCCTAATCTCAAAAAAAAAAAAAACAATTACAGAATTTGTGCCTAATTTATTAACAGGGAAACATTTCCAAAGAGTAGCTGATTAGAAGATAACAATAGCTGTGTGAAAGTATTCAATTACAATATATCTAAGATCTCAAAATATATGTCATCTAGTGATGTGCCTCAGCATGTAAATATGGCTTAGCACTTTACCAAGTGATAGACTGGGTGAAGTCCTTTCTCTGCAGTTGAAGCACACTTTAATATTTACCTGTGCCTGGGGCCTACGGTCCTCTCCGCACGGTGGGAAAGCACATAGGTAAACACAGTGTGATGTCTTCCGGACAGAGCTCTCCCTGTGGAAACCTGCAGTTTGTCTCATTTTTAACCCCATGTTCACCATATATTTCTCAGTTACTGTACAAGTTGCCTTTAATTGTGCATATCATGACAAATGATCTGCAATTTTTAATTTCAAGGAACGTGTGGATTGATATCTGATTTCTTTCACCATGAGGTTCGCCACACTGTTTGTTTTCCTTTGTACTTTTAGTGTTTCTGAAATAAGTCTGTTGTATGTCCAAATAATCATTCTAACTTCCAGCGTATTTTTATAGAATTTTTCAAATCTGGTCAGATGTAGCATTTGTATATTACGTTTGAAACCTCCGTGGGGTAAGCAGAGAACATGGGAAATGGCTAAGAGCTTAGATCTTCCAGACATGCTGTTTTGAAGAACTTGGCACAGTGCCTTTTGGAACAGCTTATCGCTAGACCTCTGATTCCTGTGAATCAAGAATGTGTTGTTAGAGCTCTTTGGATTGGACGCCCCAATTCAAACAACGGATGGTGTTTGGATAACTGAAGGTTTTCTCATGAGAGCAGTGAAGAGCCTGCTAATTCGTAATCATGTGGGTTTCAATCTTTTGAGTGTTAATTTGCTTATAACTAACAGTATACCAGAAGTTTTTGCACAGCTTAAGAGAACATGTGCAAACTAGTAGTAGCTTAATTGAAAATCATTAAGTTCAAGAAAAAAGTACATGTATTTGTAATCGTATCAGGCTTTTTCACTCATATTTGTCAATACATGTATGTTATTTCTTGAACAAACAGCGGCGTCGCACAGTGCAGTTATTCCAGCTTACCACTCAAAATCTTTGTCCTGCAAAAATTTTACTGCTTGTCGTACAAAGAGAAAAAAGAAGTACTATTTAAAGTTTCTTGTTTGTGTAAAGCTTGGTGAATTTTTGAATTGGTGCTGCAGCAAATTATGGAATTTATTGGTCCTTTAGCCCTAGCTCCTTGTAGTTGTAATTTTTATTGAATGATGATGGATTGATTCATGGGTGAGGGTTTGGCTTTTTAAACTTAGGAAAGTTTATAGAAAGATGGGGGTAGATTTCAGAGTTTTTAAAGGTTGTTTAGCACATACATATATGACGAAAAGCTCTTGGTTAGGCTTAGGGCATTAATAGGCTGGAATTATTTCAGCTACATGTGAACTTCATGTTTGTAATATAACATGTGCACAGGATTAGAACTCCAGAGCTCCTAACTGCAACAGAATATGACAGTGATGAAAATGTGTTTAATGTTGAACTTAGCAGACAACACAAGGGGTAGGGAACAGGTGTATAGGTATAACTAAATTGACGGCTGCTTATGTCCAGTGCTGGGCAGGTGGTCACGGAATCTACGGAATATAATTTCAATGCATCCAGTTGGGGTCTTATTTACATCTTGGTTTATGTTGCATTGAATGAAACATGACCAGGATGAAGGGCAACTAAGGCTGTGTTAATGACTTGCCTGCTGAGGCTTCGAGTACCCCATACATGTAAGCCTATGAAAAGTTGCTGAAGCCACTAGCTAGCCAGTGACTTCTGTAGCCATGTGCGGCTTTTAGCAGCAGCCACAAGCGCTGGATATTTAAAACACAGACTTTGAAACGATAGGCATTGCTAGGTCCTCAAAAACCTTGGACCTGAGCAAAGGTGCGAGCCAGAGGAATGATCAAATTTTGTTGGATCAAATTTTGAGGTTAATCTTCCTCTAGATGAGTATATTTTGTAAGATAATTTTCAGGTAAGATTTTTTTACATGTAGGTGTGCCTCAAACTAATACACTGTGGTCACGCAGTGTTTAGATGTCAATTATTCTCATTCATGTACCTTGTATTTCAAAATCCAAACATATTTAAGTAAAATAAAAATTCAAAATGGATGTGGTCTACATTTGTGGCTTGGGTTGCTTGTGTTCTTGAGTTCTGTGTGCCTTGAACAATTTACAGTATTTTAAGTAGATTTCATCCCAAACAGGTGAAATTGTGGTGTGTGGGTGTGCTCTAGCCGGCAAGGTATTCTGGGGACAGTTTTTGATTGCCTTGTGGGAGTTTGTGTGTCCCACAAGGATTTTTGTCCTGTAATAACCACAGTCAAAAGATGTGTAGTCCTCCTAACAGCAGAACAAGCACATTGTACATGTACATACATGTATGTGTGCATGTGCCTTTCTTAGTTTTGGTTTGTCATTGTTGGTAAAAAATGTGCTCCACACAATACCGCTCAGAACAAGGCAAGTGTTCGCAATTTTCCCTGGTCAATTTTTGATCTATTGATTATTTTTCATTTCGATTAATTTAGAGTGTTTTTAAAGTTATGTTGGATGTGAAAGAGCAATAAAGCCCCTACTCGACTTGAATACAACACATATCAGGATCACTCTCCATTTAAGATGGGTATTGAGACATACATGTACATGTTTGCAGCTCAAAAGCTATGAAATGTCATATGACATATTTGTTTGAAGACTTGCAATGTGGATTGACCAGTCAATTATGAAGGTAATCACATGAGGTAATCACATGTATGAGGTAATCACATGTATGAGGTAATCACAAGTCAAATTGCAAGCCAGGTCGTGAGGGAAGATTACTGGGGATGCTTTTTTGAACAACTTGTGACCTGATGAACGAATTCTGATGACGTAATTAGCCGGAGTCTGGCATGCACTACTGGCAAACTGGCAGAAAAACTAATTGAAAACAGAAATGCAAAAGCCACTTTTTCCAGGCCATACGCAACTCCCGTGCATTTACAACATTCAGATGGACCATAATGTTTTGTTGCATTCATGACAGGCTACTACATGTAGCAAACGGGAAGAGCTAAACTGTCTTACGTTTTAGGGCTGTGCCGAATATTTGATCGAATATCGAATATTCAAATATTGTTTTCCATATTTGAATGCAAAATTCATGAAAAGGAAGGGAGAACTTTCTTTTTTATATTAGAAAAATTGCAACATGGAGGCTTGTTTCAAGCCGATTCAATGAAGCGACAGAAATCTTACGATTCAAAAAGTAAATTATTCATTTAAAAATTGAAAAGGAATAGAAATTTTCAACACGGCAAGAAGTATTGTTTGTCTCTTAAATCTTGCTAAATCGTGGCTGGAGATACTCCTAGACGTGAGAAGCTATAAGAGTGCTTATAATGTACAATTGTATGCATTATTGCAACTGATTTTGTATTTGGTTTGTTTCATCAACAATCTGCCAGTCAGTACAACTGAATATTTGGATATTCGATCGAATTTAAGATCGAATATTCGAACAGTGAATTACTCGAATTGACTCAGCCGTATTACAGTTGTATAAATTAGTTGTATTATCCAATCAAACTGGGTAAACCAGACAACTTCCACAAATACACCGTTAATACAGTAACATTTTCTTAGTCAGAATATGACCACACAATGTTTCGATGCATACCGAGTGTGATTACAAGTCCACTACAGTCCATGTACTTGGGAAACTCCCTAAGGCATCACCACATGTACCTCTGCAGACCTGGGGTCTCCTCCCAGACAAACGGTTTCTCCAAGAAGAGGTACAGGGTGGCAATATTCACTGACGCACCGAGTAGCAGCTCCAAGCAGATCTTCCAGTAGGGTTGCAGTGGCATGTGCACCCGGAAGAGGAGGTACGGCACGATGAAGTACCGCAGTTCCAGGAGCTTCTGTGGCACGGTGGCGGCGGCTAGGCAGACGAAGTAGGCCAGTCGCCACAGGTTGCTGCAGGAGGGGAGTTTGTCCTGGATGCACCAGTCCATGTAGACTGCCACGGGCACCAGGCAGTACTTGATGAGGTGGTGGCGCTGGTAAAGGCGCCAGATACTGAACACGTAGTGCCGGTTGTCCGACAGGACGTACAGATGCACGTATGTCAGGTAGTGCACGGCCAGCAGCCCCAGGCACGTCAGGGCGAGGTAAGTCAGCGGTCGCCTCAGGCAGGCCCTCAGGAAACGGATGGCGCCGTAGGGGGATGCCAGGTACGGCGCGGCGAAGAAGGCCGTGAACATCAGGAAGTAGCCCAGCTGGGGCAGATTGGGGCAGGGCTCGTGGTGGCTCCGGTCCCCCACCACGATGCCCTGGTTGACGTACAGGAACCCCAGGAAGGCCACCACCACAACCCCATAGGGCCAGAGGAGGAGTATCAGTCGCCACAGCTGCGAAATCTTCAGGAGGTACAGCAGGGACTTCTTGACTGAGGCTAAGATCGCGCCAAAGTCATTGGCGGCGTCGGGGCTCTGCTTCCTCCCTCGCTCGCCCTCAACCTCTCGGGCGAACGTCGTGCCTGCCGTGAAGACCACCCAGACGATGTTGGACTGCCGGAAGATGACGCAGAGCACCCCCATCAGGCCAGCCATAATATGGTTGCCATGGAGACTGAAGAGGTACATTATGAGGATGAAAAAGGTGGAGCCGGGATCTGTATAGTAGAGGAAGGTGTAGAAGTACAGTACAGGGAGATGGGCCAAGGAAGCAGCCGTCAGCAATGGCTTGAAACCATGTGATGCCTGAAAACCAACATACATAGAGAGAAGAACCCATTAGTCATTAATAAATCACTGAACTGCCTGCTATGCAACAAAAGATAGTAAAGATGAACCCTTGGGGTGGCAAATGCAGGATCTCAAAAATTGTACAGTACCAGTGCATTTCGTTAAGGCCACAATATGAAACTCTGCAGAGGGAAATTTCCCAGGCTGACAAATACATGTAAGCCCTACAGAGTATTTATGCAGTTTACGACAAGTTCTATTGCTACGATTCGGCTGAAAACTACACGTACATGTACAGCACAGAGGCCTCTGTCTCCTTCAAGCCTTGATATATGCAGAATTCAAGCCAAATGTCATACTGTACCTTGTCCCCTCTGTGGATTCTCATAATCAGTGCGTACAGCATGTACAGGTTTCCGACTGCAAACAGTACATTGGTTGAGCGCAGGGTTAAGGTGGTGCACATCTCGGACATGTCCACTTGCATCAGTTCTGTGACAGGCCTGAGGAGACCAACCGAGGCCAGGTACAGGCCAGGTAGGGTGGTTATCATGGGATCCCACTTTCCACAGAGAAATAGAGAACCAATCAGTCTTTTAGTTTGTACATGTATCATACAAATCTTCCCTCCCAGTCCTACAGGCACGCAGAAAAGTTGTGACAAAAATATTGCAGCAATGTTCACTCTTATGACACCTCTGCCTTTTTGTTTAGCTCAGTTTTCTTTGTTCAACTGAGTACAAGGCGTTCATTAGTCCTTTGCTGCCTTGGGGTGTCTCCGTACAGTAAAAGGATTGAGGAGTCATTTTTCAGAGGATGTTTCTAGAAAATGTGACATTCCCACCAGTTACAGGAATGGCAGAAGAAGACATAAATACATTTCATGTGTATCTCACAAAAATTACAAAATGTACATGTATGCCATCTGGATCTTGGTTCGCGATCACTGGTCAAGATCCAGATCCGCGAAAAAACAAACAGACCCACATGCAGGCCTACGCTCCTGATGATCACGCACCACGATCACGCGCATTCATGCAGTGACCACCATGTCACCATGTATCATGTATATGGTCATCCTGCATGTGCATCGTGGTCACCATGTCTATGAATTTGAAAATGCTAGTTTTACCTCAGAAAAGGAGCCATTGCAGTATTTCTTGGCCTGTGGTACGTGGAAAATCTCATCCATATACGGATCAGGCTGTACTTTGTTAACTCGGTAGAATAACACTGAGGCAACAGCGAAAAATATGGAGAGAACAATTACGAGAACGAAATTCATGGGCGCCGCCATTTTGTTGTTTTTGGCCTGGTAACTGTGACTTCTCAAAACCAAATGGATCCTCAACTGAGGGAAGCACCTGACTGTACGTATATAGGCAAACTAAAGTTTTCAGCATGTTGACTCCAGATTTCGCCGTCAAGTTTCAGCTGGAATTATTTCCTGAGACTGAGGTGTGCATTGCACTTTTCAAAGACGTGAAAAATGTCGATGAAATAAAGAACATTATCATGGCTGGAGAAATTGATGCTGCTCTATTGTCTCCCAAAATGGTAAACTTGAATGATAGCTAGCCTAGTCTATCCGGATATTACATGTTTATTAGTGACCGGTGGTTCATCAGCTTGTAATGTTACAACTTAAATTCTTCGTGTGCTTTCTTGAATGTTTTAATTTGATCTAGGCCTAAAATCCTATTTACAAAAAGAGGGACCAGAAGTGACAAGCTGCTTTCTTTTGCCCCCATTTTTTGAAGTTACTGCATTTCATTTTATTTATTCATTTCAGATTTTATAGTAAGCCTAGGCCTAATGATTGATCGTGATTTTTATAGGCCTAGGCCTAGTACTACCATGGAGCTATAGCTCCATGGTAGTACTAGGCATAATTTTTCGTGGAAAAAGTTCCATAAATGGGCAAAACTTAAATTAATGCCCCATGTTCAAACCTATGAGACTAGTGTTTTTTACACTATGCTTTGGAATTTTCCTTGCTAATTCACTGTTTGAGACGTGTTTTGTAATCACTTTCTGATTGCTGTTGTAACATTTTAAGGGGAAATTAGTGTTGTCCGTATGTGGAACTCTTTCCTTTTTCAGTTTGGAGAGGGATTTACAAGAAGTGTAATTTTGATAAATGCTAAAGCCAGATTTATTTTTTATTGTGCATTTTCATTCATTTACTGAAATGTACCTTTCTAAGTTCATTTACAGTAGGCTTATGAGTCATTTAACTGCTGCAAATTTCTTTAGCAAATGTAAACATGGAGGGGATCGGGGGAGGCGGGACAGAAGTTAGCAGATCAGAAACCCTGTATGGCCATTCACAGCTGACACTCAGTTTGTTATTCCTAGGATGTGATAAACAGGTGTGCGCGTTTGATATTTCTCTGTTTTTATTTTGTTGCAGATTATCGATCCTTTCCAGGTTCTGATTGCTGCAAATAAAACTTTGCATGTCAAGAAACATGGGCTCAAGATGCAGACCAGAAACATCAACTCAGAGGTCCTCTTCAATTTGTCTCCAACGAACAATGTGAGCATTTGTACACTGCGCTTAAGGAAAATGTCAGATGAAGTGGAAAATTCTGGTTGGTTACAGTAGCATGGAGTTAATCCATGGGCCATTTGGGATCAATTGTTGCTGTGCTGAGCGTCAGCGATTCCCATGTATCATGATCAAATTGTAAAGTACAACCACCCGGTTTTCACATCTCCTTTTTAGGCTTTCATGGTTTCACAGTGTGCCATAGTAGAGATTGCTCTGTCTAACTTGCTCTACAAAAGACAAATGCATGGCAGTTGCACATTTGTTTTTTACAAAATTGCATTTTGGCCCCGCATTTTGTGTACTTGATGATTGCTGAATATTTAGATTCTGAACAATTGAAAATGATATATGTATACAAGAATGAAAAATAATGAAAAAAGCTAAAATGAGTCCTTGATACCAGAATTTTATTGCTACCAGTGATAGTTTTTGTAAAGATGTAAAGCTTTTACAATGGTTCTTATGTCCGAGGCTTTTTTATTATTACTGCATATAATTGGTTTTTGTTGACTCTAAACTGTTTTCCTCATGAATATTCAAATGCAATTTCAGATATTCAAACTCCGAATTATTCTGATTGGCTCTGTCCAGCTGTCCATTGGTCTCTGTCTCCCTTCTCCAGATCAGCGCCTCCTTCAAGCGGTTTGGTCTGACTCAGGAAGACACCGGTCTACTTGCAGTCACCCTGGACGATGCCTCCCTAGATAAGATGCTGGCAGTGGAGAGTTCGGTGGACGGTTGCGCTGTCAGTCTGGATGACCTTGCCTCCTTCACCGACGAGAGCCTCATCAAGCAGGTGATTACACGAGGGGGTGGCATTTCCCAGGGGCGGAGTCAGTACCAGTCAGTCCCGTCCTCCAACCTGCCATCTATCGCTGCCAGCTTGCAACCACCAGCCTGATAAACCCCAATTGATTTGTCACGTTCTGCTCTAGATACAACATACATGTATGCAGTGCATGCAGGCCTAAGGAAGAAACAAGATCATTTTGTTTGCATATGCATACAGTCCTGTCTTCGGATAATGCTTAAAAATAGGCCACTGTGAATATTTTAGCTTTTGAAAATCTCCTTGTCCACGTACACGTGCATGCCCTGATCAAATTTATCATTGCTTAAAGAATTCAGCTCTTGTGATATTTGTTCAAGCACCGCATTGCTTTGTTCCCTTATAGGCAGTTGTTTGGTTTTTTTTTCTCCAGGTTTACAAAATCCAGGAGGAGGAACTGAGGGTGTGCTCTGTCCTGGATGCGGTCGTGAGCAGAATGTCCGGGAAGGAGATGTTATGATTGGATCGTTGTGTCAAAGGAACTAAAAATAGCCATGATGTCATCCCAGCCGGGTCAAGGGCGATGGCTTGCCCTTGAAGCACTGGAGTGGTTGTGAGTCGAATGAGGCTGCTTTCCGAAATAAGATTTCTCTCATCCCGTGCCCCCCAAAAAGATTTGTTTGAGGAAGGCATGCAAAGAATGAAGCAATTCTGTGAATGAACAGTTCTGTACGTTAAAAACAACCAACCAACGAGAGACCACTAGGAACGTCAACGATATGCAGCTGCCACATGAACTGATGGTATAAACTCTGTGAGGTCACCTCGACCAGGTCAAGGATCATGGGGCCACAGCCCAGTTCAGCAGCATGCAGTCCACACCTCTGTCCTCAGCTGTGGGAACTGTGGGTAGGATTTCGTTCAGGCATTGTTGGTCACACTAGTCTACTGTCGGTAATGAATTGTAACTGGGAGGAAGTTGTCCAGAGTGCTGTCTTAGGCCAGGCTATTTTTTTCCCAACCGTGGTATACCCCGCCTGCAAACACGCTATTAGGCAGCAATGATAAATTGGTGAAAATACGGTCTATCATAACAAAATATTGTGGGGTTTTTTGAGGTTAAATTTTGGGGATACATTTTCTACATCTGAAAAAAATGATTGGTTGACAAGTCGTGCTAATTGTGTTTGATCGATTTATTTGAGTTGAGTTTTCAAGAGTTTTTTTAAAATTGATCCAACTGAGCAGATATCGCGAATTACAGAGTTTTGGGCCAAGTTCATACATGTAATTTGCCTGGAGACTCCGAGACGTTCGAGTTCAGCTAGGCTGGTTTTGGACAATAGCGCCCTCTTTTGGTCACAGTCTTATAGACGGCGATGGACATTTTAGCAGAGGCAGTCACATAAATGCAGCGCAGTATTTACGTGTGAGAAACTTTGTCTTGTGTGCTTTGTTTGTTTGTAGTTTATTTTGTTAATTATTTAATCTTTTTATATTTCTGCAGCTGTTCGAGAACAGCTGTCGTATTGAATGTGTGATCGAGTCTTGCACCTATCCACCTACCTACCACCTCTCCCCACCAACAATCAGGCCAGGCAGGCTTCCTATATGCATGACCTCAGTGTTGGACCCCGCGAAGTCGGCGGCCAAATCAAATCCTCGCCCCCCCGATCCGGTTAATAATTGAGATGTTTTTCTAGTTCTGGCAAGGGCTTTTATTGCCTTAGGGCTCCGGGGAGCGAATTGTGAAGCACCGGAGCGCGGCTCGAATTGCCCGATATATCTACCCTACCGCACGCGATGCAAGCGGCAGGAGGCGGGCCGCGCAAAGCCTGGGATCAGCAGATCTGGACGAGAGCAGGGGGTCAATTCCATATTGCCGTTTAACAGAAGAACTCGCGTTGTACATTTCTGTCGTAAGCAGAGCATCCGTCACATATTTGGTGTACCTTGTCCTTTTGGTTGTCTAACATATTTTGTCGGAGAAATATTACTCCTCCTGCTTCGTAAATTACTCGCTTAGCGCTTTATGAAGTTGGCTCCAGATGCCTAAGCAAGGATTGCCATAGCCATCTCTGATCTCTTAACGCGACAGCCGCGCCGCTAGATTGGCCCAACTTGTTGCAATTCCTGCCGTCCCTAATGGAGTCTCCTTTGCCTCCGTCGTCTGCCAAAACGGCGGATGACGTATAGCGTGTCTTTTTAGCTTGATTAGTCCTGCGCGCGTGAATAATTTATTGTCTAGATAATAATGTTGATGGTTTGTCTTCTCGAGCGAAACGTCTGTAAAGGTCGCCGATATTTTATATCTATTTTTTTTGGTTCTTGTTTTTCGTGGTAACACGATGTTCGGAGACACGGATGATACGGTGGTCCAGTCGTGATCGGTCTCCCCCCATCCCCTGAAATGTCATCAAAAGGGCTCTTTTTTTTACGAATGAAGATCTAAATACGTATTTTCTTTCTTTTCAATCGCATGTACGTATGTACCATAATGTGGTTACATGTAACGACGGATGGCGTACGAATGCGATGGCCATCATTTGCGTGCTCTCTCATTGCCATGTGAGTCCTCAAATAGAAAGCACAAAATATCCCCTGATGTCTCCAGGTCTCAATACTTATTTTGCTTCTGCCCATACCGCCTATGCATACATGTAAGCCCACACCGTCTGATTGGTGAGTGGTCATCACGTGTCAGTGACCATATATGGAACGTTACGCGCGCAGAAGCCAACGTCGGGGCTCTTGTAGACAAAAATGGCGGGGGATACGTCACCGTTCCGTCTGCAGATAGGTGAAGAAATTTCCGATCTCTGAAGGGAAACTGATGCTTCTAGCAGACAGAAGCAAATTAAACACGTTTTGAAACGATGAGAGCAATTTGAAAGCCACGTCTGTTGTAGCATTCACTAATATAAACTTTGCAACTCCTTGTTGCGATTTTATGCAACAGAAGTGAAACTTCTACCTGTAAAAACAGGATAGGCCTATATTCAGCCATTGTGTATAAGCAAATACGTAAATGACCATGTGATGAATACTTTACATTACGTGCATTGGATTAGTTTCGTTCAGTGAAAATGAAATGCTCCCTCCAATCTACCACCTCATCAAAGTGTTATTACCTTTGCATGTAATTGCTATCCACGTACTAATCATACAATGATGTCAAGGCCAATTGCAGTAAAGAAAACTTATGTGACTTCATTATCCATCAAAATGCTGGACGAACACGCGTTTTTTTGTAAAGTTGGTACGTTCAAAGTACAACTTCATTTTTTTTTACTTCAGATAAAAAGTGTGATCTCATTATTTTGAAACTGCCCTCGACACATTTGTTGAAAGGTGAAGCCTTTTTCACAGTGACTTCTGCCATTGCTTTTTAAAACCCGATACCGCGTCGATGTCCCGGTCTTATTTGCGAGATGGGTGCTGACTTCTTGCGGACTGCATTAATTTTCTTGAAGTGTTCCCGGTTCAGAAGAGTAAGTAAGTAACGATTTGTTTAGGGGAAGATGGTTTGGGTGTGAAGCTTGTGTGTGCCGTTTACTGGTTGGGCATTTTTGCACACTGCAAAGTGAGGTCACATTGCAGTGTTTAGAGTTGTGTCTTGCAAGGTCTTTTGCCCTTGCCATTATCAGATTCTGCATCCACTGTGACTGGGAGAAATACACTGGCCTCTCCATATATCAATATGTGGCGGATTTTATTTTTTCGGAAATGGAATCGACGGGAGGCGGGAAATGTGCGAGTCTATAGGAAAGAAATGTTCGAGAGGAAAAGCTGGAAGCCGACTGGTGTCGGACGGGGCACAAAGAGGAGACACAAGCCATGCTACCAAATATACACGGGCTGGGCCTCACTGCCCACTTCCCATCAAGTCACAAGACGGCTTGAAATGCATGTGACAGGGGCGTTAGATACGGATCTGCATCCTCACCGTATTTTGTATACCCAGCAAGAAATGAGACCGAGGGGTACCCCNCCAACACAAAGCAGGAGGGGTTCTCTTCGTCTCATACCTTGCTGCATGTGATATTTTGTATCAAGTGCTCTTGTTCACTATGGCACTTTGCTCACGAGCGAGCATTGTGATGACGAATAACGCCACCTGTTGTTCTGCACTGTCCGCTTAAACAGCATCGCCACACACAAAAGATTGCCACCCCCACCTTCCACTGTTTCGATTTTGCGGAGGCAAGTTGTCCGTTGAAACCTTCTGTACGAATGCCAGGCGCCCTTTTCTCCAAAGCCAGCCCCTCCCCACTCCGATCAAGATGACTCTGCTATAATGTACACAACTGACGAGTTTTAGTATGGAATTAAGATTACCGGTAAACCCCCAAACAAACTCTAGGTGAATCAAGTGAAAGTCATCCGACAATAATGCGGGTGCCGTGTTGAGAGACGGAGGACGAGAACCCTGGTCCCAAGGGTGCATCGGGACTGGGCAAGATGTCTCAGCCTGGTCTGATCTCCTGTCGTGCTGAGGATCAATCGCCCACGGCGACGCGACTCGTCACAGACTTCGCTGGAATACCGCCCCCCCCCCCACAAATGCACAAATGGAGTCACAAATCCCGCTGCCGTTGGGGAGCCTACGCGCCGCGCTCATCTCGAAAAATCGGCAGATGATATTTTTAGCCTTGCCAATCTTCGGCAGGTGAATTATTTATGTCAAAGATTTAACGTTGCTGAATTTTCTCGTTGGACGAAAGAGTTTTTATAGGTCAGCTAGGGAAAGTTTGGTTGAGATTAATCTGCCAACGATGGGTAAGTCAAGTTAGAATTGCCTGAAATATTTTGTCGATACAGAAAGGGCCGACTGTTTATCGTAAGGATGGTGTAGCTTTCGCTCCAGAAAAAGTTGTAGCTTTAATCTAATCCCAAGGGTGGCTTAATTGTTTAAACTTGAGAAAAGATTATAGCTTTAGAAGTTAGTACAATGTATACTGTTGAGTGGGCGTGGAAATTAACTTATTGAAAATGTTAAGAGAATAGCTTCAGTTCTTTCATGCGACGAATTGAGGCAGGTCGACCAGGAGCGGTTTTAGAGCAATTTTGGGGGTGGGGTCTAGACAAAACCTCGGGGCGGGGTTAACACCCACCCCCTCCCTGAACGCTGCCTGAGGTCACTATATTAGCAGTAAATAGCTTTATAATGTGCGTTGATGATTGCATGCAATGTAAATTGTATATTCAAGAATTAATTCTTTAGACAATAATTTTGGTTGTTACGTTATATTCTACTCCGAAGGGGGAAGTGTGCTTAGGTCCAAAAAACTGCTGCGGGGTTGCAATTTGCATTTTGGTTGCAATTTGGCAAACTGTGTCAACGCTTAAACTGCGTGTGGTACCGTGAATTTGTGCACTTTTCGGCAGAAGGACTTCGTCGGCGTTCTTTTTCGAGAGAGACACAATTATTTCTGGACATAATGCAGCACAACGCAAGTTGCCAGAATCTCTAACCCTTGGAAATCCACCAGTGGCTATTTTGTAAATCTAAAACCATGGCAGCAAAGTTGTTACCGGTTCAACGCTCCTGCCAAACGGTGCGTATGAATATACGGTATGAGGAGACTTTCAAATCAAAGAATTCCTCGTAAAAAATGTCGCCATGCCCTTTTTGTAAGGCCATTTTACCGATCTCAAATTTAAAAAACAACAGAGACTGTGCTTCCAAAGATACTCCCATTAATTAAAAGAAGTAATAAAAAAATCACGACCCCCTTGATGCATGTATAACGCGCGTTTGTGAAATTTCCCACATTGCATCGGTTGAATGCATGATTGCCGCCCGCCAAAGCTTCCCGGTAAATCGATCGAAGGGAGACAGGTATACATATGATTAGGTAGTCCAGTAACAATCGATCCCCTCGATCATTGAAAAAAGTCATCTCACGGAATGGTCTTTATCAGTGTCTGTACCGCTCTTCATCAGGCTTGCCTCGTGATACACAAACCAGAATGTCAGGCTTCGGAGCATGCTGCTACCTCGTTAGACCAGTCGCATATTGATGCGTATAGGCCTACGTTTACATTCAATTGGAGTGATAGACCACCTCAGCTTACTGGCAATTTGAACCATTCCCCAATCGTGAGTGGCCTAAATTGCATGATCCATATAATGACGTAAGTCTTCTAAATGGGAACGGGGACTCACATTTGCATAGTTAACTTCTGGACATAGCGAGGCGCTAACTTGGCCTGGTATGGTGCCGTAACTCAATATTGGTGTGGAGGCAATTGGGCTAAGTACTTTTCAGGTTGAAATAAAAAGTATAGAGTTAGTCATTTGGTATGCTGAATTGTAATGATCATAGATGTGCTGTTGATGTCTCCGAATGTTATGATCTCTGCGTCTGTTGTGCCGCAGAGTCTGTTATTGAGTTGATGAAAGCAATTGGGTCAGTGGAACTTGAGTAAGGAAA